TTTCTAATGCAAATACTGTAGTTTGTACTTGCCTATTTTATTTCGAGCTAGTTAAGTATACGATCTTGATGAGAGTCAGCTTTTAAAGTTCCATAGCAAATATTTTTTTTTCCCACAATTAAAAAAAGTAAAATAACATCCCTATATATTGATTGAGACAAAAAAGATGTAGATGAGACAAAACAAAAATGCCTTAGGCCCGGGGGTGGTGGTGGTTTCGAAGAATACCTTTGAAATATTTTCCACTTTTGAAGATGCTAGGCCAACTAACCATGTGGAGTGGCCCACTCCTGTCTATCGCCTTCCTCTTTATGACTTTGAAGAAATCGTTGTTTACCGGTTTTTTATATTTTTAGTCATTGTAGGGGTATTCTCGAGATTCTTAATGATGTGACCCTCACTTGGTTTGTCAAAAAAAAGTTAGACAATCCAAAAAACATAGATTTACCCCCGTACGGGTAAGACCGTTGCCTAATGTATATAATGGTGTCGGCGGATGAGATGTTTAATTAATATGAATGTAATCAAATTCGCTTCATTTTGATCTAAGAGATCGAATTCGTTTCTTTTTTATAGAGACTTTAAACAAAAATTAGAGCTCATCTCAAAAATTTCACTAGAAGATGATGTTTTGATGCTCAAATATCTTCAAATTGATTGTCTCGACATCAAGATGCATGGACATGAGAAAAAATAGATTTCAAGTTTTGAAAATAATACATCTTGTAATGCATTTTTGGACACTCAATTTTCAAGATTTTCAAGTTTCTATAGATCTGCTTGATCTACACTATTTTTTAATCTTTAAATTTAATAATCAAAGATGAAAATATATTTAAGACTATTACAAAGATTTCCCATATTGAAACCACATTTCTTGATACTATTTGAAGGTGCACTTTATTTTGATTGTTTGGAGCCTCAACTCTATACAAGCAGCACCTTTTTAAAAAAATTTAAATTCTTCCTCCGAATCGGCCGAAGTACTGAATTGCTTCGCTCTTCCGACCAAACCCAAAAAAAACTCCAAAGCGAGTGTCTGGGAAATAGAAGGGGCCTATATCGGGTGATTGATGCCATCGAGGTTAACAAATAATGGACTTAAAACATATTTATAAGGGTTACAAATTAACCTTTACATTCTAAAATTTGAAAACCCGATGTATTGATTGTCCTTTAAACCTTATCTATCGGCTTTAGAAACATTAGGATATCTGATGATGTACCTGATATTGACCATGTGCACGTACCCAGCATTCCAGTATGGTTCGGGCCGGAGAAGATAAATAAATTGTGACCTTGAAGTTGTCGGTGGATAATTTGCCTTTAATTTTGAGAACCAATATGAGAAAGGGCGTCGAGGATTTAAATTTGAATCCTTGGATTCATCCGGACAAGCAAACTATGTTAATTTTACGTCAGCTTTTTCTTGTTAAGTTTATTCGGAGTTGCTGAACTCATCATTATCATAGTTTTTTTTCAACTATTTAGGGCTGGCTACATGTATCTTTGTCTATTATTCTACTCTATTAAAGGTCATACTTTTAATAAAATCACAAGTCCCCATATCTTTTATCACTACGTTCAACCATGTCTTTTTTCGGATTCAATAAATTCGAAATTATTGGAGTCAAAACAGATTTAAAGGTGGGTGATTCCAGTATAAAAAACCATGGAATCACCTCAATTCTCCTAATTTGCTTAAGAAAATTTATCAAAATACAACTAATTTATTAATTATCCAATAGTTTGTCCATTTTCAACTAGTGTAGGAAAGCACGACTCAGCTTCAGAACCCAGCCTTGGGCCGGGATGTGTCCAAGTAAGCCGGCCTGAGTTGAACACGCCCAAAAATGTTTTTAAAAAACTGAAAAGCTACAAAAAAAATCCTAAAATATATGAAAAATATGTTTAAAGGAAAATTAAACAAAACACATCTAAATGAGGTTAAAAAAGTAGTGAAAAAATAGCTTTTGAAAAACTGAATTTGTGATTGGGAAATTTTAGAAATAATCCAATAAAAAGAAAAACAAAAAAATAAGTATTCATAGAAAAAATACTTTCCAATATTTTCCAAAATAAAGTTCTCATTTACGTGGATTTTTATAATTTTTTAAATTTTTTTTTAAGATCCCTAGCTGGACCACCAAACCAGAGACTCGAAGTTGTCCAGGCGTGTCTGGGTTGGCCTGCCGGAGTGATCAAACACTATTTTCAATAATTCCAACTCATGATCACATGTATTTTGATAGGCTTTTGAGAAATGAATAAAAATATAAGTAAAGTCCAATATGTCTTCTCTTTTTTGTGTATTGATGAGCTTTCCTTTCTATTAAAATTACTTTATTAGGCTTTCACTTGGGTTCCATTGTCATAACATCCCATGTTAACATAAAAATTCCCTCGTTTCACATCAAGTTTAATGGGAGACATAAACCATAAAGAGAATATGGTTGCATTGCTACATTACCCCTAACTTTTAGTAATAAAAATACATGAAGCCGCCAAAAAATAATAAAAAGAGGGGCCAAAATTTGATAACGAATGAACAACAACAACCAAGAGGGCCTTTCTCGCTGACGCGTGCAGCTCACACGTGCTGGAAGATGATTGCTCGCATTCTAAGAGAAAGTTAACTTTCTCGACCCAAAAACCGAAGCCAGAGTTACTTCTAGTCATTATTACAAATGGAGAAGCATCTGGACCGTACATTTTTCAGTACGGAAATATTGGAAATCGGAGGGTTCACATCTGTTACTACAAAAGGAGGAGGGGCCCGTTACATTGGGATGCCCTTTTTTGCGCTTTTCAAAACAAATTTAAAATAAACAAATTGCTATTTTTTATTTTTAGGTAATTAAGATAGGTCGATCGATCTTTACTCATTTTTTTCAATAAATTAGAGTTACATTTTAAAAATGATCATTGAGAGTTTACGGTTTACTCTTTTTTTTTAATAGATTAGATAGTTACATTTTAAAAATAATTATTAAAAATGTGCGGCATAAACGAATACTACGATGCCGTAACTAAGTGTAGGGATGCATCATACACAACTACAGGTTAATTTTAGATCTTAGTTGAATAAAAAGGTTCCAAGTACAAGTTTCCACGAAAATCCTAAAGGTAATTCTGAGATATTTAGGCACCGCCAAAAGGGTATTTTTACAATTAAAATGAGAATTGAAAAGTGGCACAATACAATTAATGCAGCATACTGCTCCGAAATTATTGCCATTTATTATTATTTGGAGATACGTTTTTATTAAGAGATTGTATACAATGAGACGATTCTTGTACTTTGTGAATAAATTATCTTGATGCTTTTTTTCTATTTTGGTAATAGGTTGTTATTGTATTCTGTGTATAAATGTACCTCTTCACTAAACAGAATATATAATTTATTTAAGAGAATATTAGAGATATCTCGTTTATTGGCAATGCCGCGTTACTTTTGATACTATTAATATCAAAACTATCTAATTTTGTATCTACCTCCAACTAAATTAGGTTTAACTTTTTTTTAATTAAAACACTATTTTAACCCACATTTTTTATTTTCTCTCTCATTGGTCTGGCTCAAAATGTACCGAATTGACACAATTCCAATGTAAGTTAGTCCGACACATTTTGTACTAGACTAGAAGAAAGCGATGCACAAAAAATTGCCAGATTGACTTTTTGTCTGTAGCCGGTTTCGCACCTTTTGTGTCTGTAATATCAGATAGATAGATGTTGGTCATCGTATTTTAAAAATGTTAGTTAAATAAGATGTATTTTGGCCTAAAAAAATTAAATTTTTTACTTAGGGGTGCTTGTAATAATAAATAATATTGAAATTATTATTGTGGTATAAAAATATTAGGGGGCATGCTTATGAAGTACAAGTTAGGAGGAATCTATAATTTTTGCATTATTTAATCAAATTCCATTTCTAATGGAGTTTTTATTTCATCATGCTTTGCCTTATCTATGCTTTATGGAGTGAAAGAAGAATAAGTTTTTTTTTTGACAAAATTATAGATATCTTTTTAAAATCAACTTTTTAGACATATCATCTACAATATTTTTTATCTCACACCCTGAACCCAAATACTATTTTGTCTTATATTTATCTCCAATAAAAAAGTCAACAAATATAAAACGAATAAACCTTTACTCTTTTTACACACAAAAACCAGATACATGGTAGCTTTTTGAACTCTTTCTCTATTCACTATCTCTACTTCTTTTCTCTCTTTACATGTCATACCTCTCTCTTTCTTTACTAGCCATCTCTCTCGCTCCCAACCCTCTATGTCTTTCTTTCTCTACTTGCCTCTCCCCCTATCTCTCTTTCTCTTCTCTCATAAATATTTCAATCCGGTACACCAAGTGTTAGATTGTGTATTATAATAAAGGCGATCTGGCACATAGTATGTCAGATCGAAATATTTGTGCGAGAAGGGAAAAAAAGAGAGAAAAAGGGCATAAGTAAAGAAAAAGAAATGAGAAAATGCGGGCGGAGAGAATAGAGAGTGAGAATGAGAGAGCACTTAAAAAGTTATTTTTGTTTGTGTAGTGAGACGGTCATGGTATTTTGTCTTAAATTTATTGATTTTTTTATCAAGGTAAATAAATAAAAAAAGAGTGTTGAAGTTAAAAATGTGAAAAAAATATATATTAAAACATAAGATGGATTTTAAGAGATACCTATCTCTTTATTATTATTTTTAAATTTTTTTTAAAAAAATCTAGTGGAGAATACAGAACAAGCACGTCAGGAATTAACTTGTACTGGAATGGGATGGAAAGATCAGTTAATTGCCCAAAAAGAAACGAAGGATAAGTCAACAGAAGAAGGGGAAACAATTGCATGGATAAAGAGACTGACAAGGTGCATTGAAAGCACGCGTTGGTTGCAGTTAATGAGGTAAATAATTTAATTTCATAATAATATTAATCATCGGGAACCGCACTTTTCAGCTAGGCCTCCATCCAGCTTGCATTATTTAAACCCAATAAGAGATGGCTTTCCTCATCCGCATATGCACAGCGAGATGGGTTCCTTCTCACTCCTCTTTTTCACAGTCTTCCTGTCACTTGTAGCAGCTTCTAAACTGTACAACAATGGCGTCTCGGCAGAAGAGTCTGCTGATACTGGTCTTATGATGAATTACTACACGGACTCATGCCCCCAAGCTGAAGACGTCATTAGAGAGCAAGTGAAGCTCCTCTACAAGCGCCACAAGAACACTGCATTCTCCTGGCTCAGGAACATCTTCCATGACTGTGCTGTTCAGGTTATCGCATCTCTCTCACTCTCTACATTTCATCCCTTTTAATGTATGCAGGGCTTAAGCTCATTGGTAGTTTGAGATAGATGTTGATTTTGTGTATATGGTTGGTGAATGCAGTCGTGTGATGCTTCTCTTCTGTTGGATTCGACGAGGAGGAGCCTGTCGGAGAAGGAGACGGATCGGAGCTTTGGGCTGAGGAACTTCAGGTATTTGGACACCATCAAAGAGGCTGTTGAGAGAGAGTGCCCCGGAGTCGTTTCTTGTGCAGACATCCTCGTCTTGTCGGCCAGAGATGGCATTGTTGCGGTAACAGATCCATCATATTCTCTCTCTATCTCTGGTTTCAGTTAAAAAGAGGATATCGGAACATTTGTTTTCCTTTTACTGTGTATCTCTCTGATTTGTAACTGGTACTGATTGATGGATAAACGATGATGAAAAACAGTTGGGTGGTCCATATATCCCCCTGAAAACGGGGAGGAGAGACGGGAGGAGGAGCCGAGCGGAGGTGTTGGAGGAATACCTGCCTGACCACAACGAGAGCATCTCCGGTGTTCTCGCCAAGTTCGAAGCCATCGGCATCGACACCCCCGGCGTCGTCGCACTCCTAGGTCCGCTCTCTCTCTCTTCGACACACCCTCTCTTGCTCACTTTAACACTAAACACAGACGCGTACCATGAAATGGGGTATATTATATTTGGGGCCATCTTAGTGATGTTTGAGGGTGCCAACATACATCCGGCCCGGTCCTCATAGTCGCTGGGCTAAAAGCAAATAAAAAAATAAAGGAAAAATCAAGTAAAAATCTGGCTGGTCCGGGTCGACCTAAGTTAGCATTAGCCCTAACCCACCCCCTCGGGTCACAGTTTGTAGTATGGGCTCTATTTTTTTGATAAAATATAATGACCCAAATACTTTTAGAAGCTTTAAAGGGTATTTTGGTTTTGTTATTTTATTGAAAATATTGTTTTTATATATTTTTTTTCTAGTGCGGAGTATAATAGGGGTTTGGATGTCCAAAATTTGGTATCAAAATAGTAAAAAAAACATTAAAAATAAAATAATATAGAGGTATGATATTGTTATTGGGACAATTTTAACTTTCCATTCAAAATGAACGGAGGGATAAAGGGAAGTATATAAGTTTTTATGCCGTTGATGAAGCATAGAAAACTTTTCCAAAATAGACTATACAAATAGACCCTCTCTCTTGCTTTCTCTCCCTTACTCTCTCCACCCATCCCCTCTTTAACTCTGTCCACCCATTTCCCTTTCACTCTATCCTCTTTTATTTTCTCTCTTTCTCTCTCCACCTTTTTTCATTTTTTTCTCTCTCTACCACTCACATGCCTATGATACGGTCAGACATAAAGAATGTCAGATAGTTTTTTGTTTTTGTGGTCATGAAGAAAAATATATCGATTGTAAAAAAGATTTTGGTTTAATACATTTTCTTCCGAATCGCATTATGGGCATGTGAGGTTTTTTTTTTGCTGTGCAGCACAAGGTTTGTCCGACCAAGCATTTGAGTGGTGGAGAGAGAAATAATGAGGGTAGAGAGATAGAGATAGAAAGAAACGGGTGGAGAGAGAGGAGGGGTGAGAGTTTTTTTTGATAAATGGAGAGAGAAAAATACAAAAAATATATTGCGAAGGGGAAAAGAGAGAATGATATTTTTGTCTCATAATGATTTGACTATTTTACTAGCGGTAAATATCAAAAAAAATAGTGTTGGGATTTAAGGTATAATACAAAAAATACTTGAAGGTACGATGTGTAAAACGTTGAAATTGGTGGTATTTATAATTTTCCTTTAAAAAAACTAATGGGTGAGTTAGATAGGCCACCTCAAAAGTCGTGGCACATCGGTGATCTCGATCAGAGAATTGGCTGGTCTCCGCTTCAAAAAAAACTCCAAACAATAACTATATTTTCCAAAAAGAAAACCATTATTTTAGATGTCTAAAAAAAATAGTGAATATTGAGAACATGTCTCATGTTTAATATTTGTTGTCTACTAAATTCATTTTATAGTCAAAATAAAGCTTAAAATGCAACATGATAATAAAAAGAATATTTGTAATTCATTCTAGTTTTTTACGTTTGTATTAACTTAAGAGTTTCATTTTTGAAAGAAGCTTATATGAAAAAAATTTAATGGAAGAGGTTGTTGGTATATAGAAATATATCAATTTTTATTGGAATTAATTGTTTGTAGAGAGGGAATTTGAGTGAAATTCATTATTTGTAGAGAGAGAAAGAAAAGTTGGTATTAGAGAGAGAGAGAGAGACAGAGAGAGACGCCAAGGTGGGTGGCAAGGTAAAGAGAGAGATCTCAAAATTTATGTAATGAGGTGATGTGGAAATGAGTCTAATTTGTCTCACTTAGAAGATTGTATGTAGCAAAAATTATATATAACATGCTTCACGCGAGCAATACAAGCTCATTATTAATATATGCAGTATATTATTAATTCGTGGGATCACGTGAAGATAATAAATTTTTTATATTAAAAATATTGAGTGAGCTGTTGGCTTTAATTTTTAAATGTTTTTACAAAGTGCCTTGAAAAAAATTAAAAAATGCAATAACCAAGTTTATTCAAACTGGTTTGGAACATAACATAATCGGCCAATTTCCAGCGGATCCGGTTTATTCTAAACCTGTTTGAGTGAGAAAACTTGATAAATATATATTTTTTAAGGCACTTTTGAAAAAAAAATTTAAATGATGGACAACAGCCCACAACGTATTTTTAATAAAAAAATGTTGTTACTTTCTTGTGGGTTTCACTAACTAGTCATATACTTTACACATTAATGAGTGTGGATTGCTTGTACCCGCCAAACAATATGAAATGTGTGAGGCAATTTATACACATTTTTACAATATACAATATTCGATGTAGAACAAATTAGTTTTATTTTCTATATCATTTCATTAAACGTTGGGTCTCTCTCCATCTTCCCACTAAGGTATCTCACTCTGCCCTTTGCCCCCATGGTATCTCACTCTATTAACAACCTCTCTCAATCAATATCTTTACAAAAAATCAATTCCACTATCTCTACGAACAACTTTTTCCACTAATTTCTTTTTTCATATAGTTTCTTTTAAAATTTAAAACTTTTAAGTTAATACAAAAATAAAAAATTAAAATGAATTCAATAAACAACAAATAGTCAACATCATAATGTTCTCGGCATTTATAAATATTAAAAAAATAAAAATCAAAATAAAGGTTTATGTGGGCAGGAATTTAGGCGGATTTGAGAAAACATTGGATAAACTTAAAAAAAATAGAAAAATTTGAAAAGGGCGATTTGAGGGTGAACAGGATTGAGAGCCATGCTATCTTCCATCGGTTGCGACCGATTCCGGCTGAGAAATAGCTGGATTTTAGAACATTGTCTTACAATGCCAAGATAAACCATCTTATTTGCACTTTACCTTGTTCTTCACATTGTTTATTTTTTGCCCAAGTGTCCAGATCCACATGTTGCATTGTTTCCTGCACTTGCCTTTATTTTTTTTAGAACTTTTAATGTGTGTTAAAGTTCATTAGTGATGTATTTTCGTCTTAATGAAAATAAAAAAGGGTCACTCGAGTAGGAACATCCAGAAATGGAAGCTTCTTCTAAGCACAATGAACAAAAAAAAGACTTAAAAAAGTGGGGAAAAAGAGAAAAAATGGTTCACGAGGGAACAAAAACAAAGGGCAATGAAGAAATTTAAATTTGAATATGACCAGGTGCGCACAGCGTGGGCCGCACCCACTGCGTGAAGCTGGTGCACCGGCTGTACCCAGAGGTGGACCCTGCCCTGAACCCAGACCACGTCGAGCACATGCTCCACAAGTGCCCCGACCCCATCCCCAACCCGAAAGCCGTGCAGTACGTCCGCAACGACAGAGGCACGCCCATGATCCTCGACAACAACTACTACCGCAACGTTATGGAGGGCAAGGGGCTCTTGCAGGTGGACCACCAGTTGTACGAAGACAAGCGCACCAGGTTCTTCGTCAAGAAGATGGCAAAGAGCCAGGACTACTTCTTCAAGGAGTTCGCTCGTGCCATCACCATCCTCTCCGAAAACAACCCGCTGACCGGCACCAAGGGTGAGATACGCGCCGTGTGCAACGTTGCTAACAAGCACCACCTCTAAATGATGAGTAGTGCTCAGTGTCTGTTTTCTCCCTCTCACTTTTGTGAGTTCTTTTTAAGTGTGGTCCCTCTCTCTGCGTTGCTTGGGGAGTGATGATAGTAGTAGTGGATGGGCTGGCTTCTTTAATGGATAAGCGCACCGGTGGTAATGGATGCTATGATTATGTACATATGGATGGTAGGAGTGGACTAAGAGTGCTTGTCTTTTACATGTTAGTGGAGTAGATGGGCCACAGTTGCACGGGCCCTTTGCTTTCCCTTGTTCTATTCCTCCCTTCATTGGTAGCCCATCGCCCTTTGATAGGGGTCGCAACAGGTAGGGTCCGGTCCGGCTGGACCTAGACTCGGACCCAAATGGCCGTCTAAAATTTGAACCTATATTTGGGCCCTCGGGTCTTGGGTGTACCCGTCGGTTCTCAGGCCATCATATACCTTATGATTGGGTACGGGTCCGGTCCGGTTGGCCCAGGATCCAAATAGTGTTTAGGTCAAAAATTTCGACCCATTCCTGGACCTGTGGTCACTCTACCCGTCGGGTCCTGTATCTCGTTGGATCCATTGCTACCACTAGCTTTGATATGCCAGCTTATTTTATTTTCTTACTTTTACATTAACAAAAGGCTATTGAGTTTGTAATATATTTTTTGGACTGTCAATTTTCAAAGATTTTTAAATGTTTATGAATCTACTCGATCTATATTAATTTTAAAATTTTAAATTTTATAATTAAAGATAAAAATAAAATTTGAGGGCATCACCAAGATTTCCCTTACTAAAACATTTTTTCCATTACTAAAACAACATCTATAAACAACATCTATTGATGCTATTGAAAGGTACGCTTTACTTTATTATTTAAGGCCTCAGCGTTGTACAAACCACACCCTTAAGTTTGCATCATAAATAGAGTTTCACTCTTTGACAATTCCTTTAAAGATTTAGCCTTCTATTGATTTTCTTTATCTTACTTTTCAAACCGAGCGAATGGCAATTACATAAATTGAAGAGAGATCTTTTTGTCTTAAAGTACGTCAATGTACTATGTCAGTCACCTATTGATAGTAATCCGTGTTCATATTTTCAAGTATATGAATGTACTATGGCGCCTATTAATAGTAATCAATATTCATAAGGTCCACTGAGAAAAAAAAAATAGAATTGTCTTTTAAAGGTGTGCCTATTAATAGCAATAAATATTCATAAGGTTCACTGAGAAAAAAAATTAGAATTGTCTTTTAAAGGTGTGGTGATAGAGAATCATGAAGGCTTTGATCAACTAAGATTAATTGAGGAAATAATGTGGTGCTTTCTCAAAGAATTGATTTGATCAATAACCTAGACGAGATTCCAAATTGGGAGTTTGGAAAACGAGTGCAATAATTCGTGGTTATTTGCGGAATTTTAATTGGTAGTATAATTAGAGATTACATGGCCTTGTGGCTTTTTCACAAGGACCGGTTATCATCCAAGTGGAGAGAGTGGGGCATGTTTGGTTTGTGTAAAAATGTTTTTTAGAAAATATTTTCACATGGGAATATTTTTATACCAATTGGTTTAAGTGCATCTTTTCACACCAATTGACAATTAATTAATGCAAAAATATTTTCACATTTAACCACATGAAATATTTTTTTTCATGTGAAAATATTTTCTAAAAAATATTTTCTTCGAACTAGACATGCCATAAACATTACTAAGTGGTGTAAAAATGAATAGCAAGTGCCATAGACCTTGAGGTATATTTGGTTTCACATAATGAACAACTTGTGTTATCTCTAGCTGGAAATAATGGACATTTGCAATATAGAGTAACTATTCCATTTGTGTAGTTTATAGTGACTGAATGGGTGTCCAAATGAGCGATGTCCATCAATGGGTTCTCCCGTTCTTATTATTATCATATTCTCTATACTAAAATTTATCAAAACACTCTTTTTACCCATTTGCAATTATTCAAACTCAAGGCTATATTTTTATGAGTATTTTTTAAAATTAAATAAAAAGATATCGATAAAATGTTACACAATTCATGTCCTATGGATAATTTGATAAATTTTCTTTAAGGAAAATTACATATATATCCGTTATTATTGTTCTACCAAATGGTTTCCGTAATTATCATTATGTCCATTTTATCTTGTCAAAACAAAAATTTAAAAAACAAACAACTTTACCATTTTTCTCTCTCTACCTCTCTCTCTACATTACATGGGTAAAAATGATTTTTTTTGAACTCTCTATGTCCTCTTCACCCTGTGTCTGTTTTTTTGGGTATGTTCATAATCCCCTAGATTTCTCCTAAATTTAGGTGCTCAAACTAGTTGCTCCCTGATTTTATTGGATAACCATGAGGTAGAAAGAGAATACGCCACAAGATTTCTCTTAATCTTCTAATCTCATAATCCCTAAAATTTATCCAAAATTTAGGGACTCAAACTAGTTGTTCGCTTTGATTTTATTGGATAACTATGACTTGAGAGAGGTGGAGAAAATATTGCACAGAGAACATTTTTCAGTTCTTGAATAACTAATCGAAAATTTTAAATTTTCAGTTATTCCAAATTAGTGTATTTTCGGTTGTTGAACAACCGAACATACTTTGAATTCGGTGTTCAACAACCAAAAAAGAACACCGAAAAAGGGTAAAGTCATTTTTTAAAAAAAATTTCCGTTTTGACATGAAAAAAATAGACATGATGGTATTAATAGAAATTATTCGGTAGAGCCGTAATAACGGAAACTATAACGAATATGTATGTAATATTTCCTTTGCCTTATCTATATTGTAATGGAAGTATTTGATTTGTGATTTAATGAAATTTTGTAACTTGAATAAAAACTAGGGTGGCGCACCTCCAAATTTATCATAACATGTAATTTTGGCATAAAAACTTCTTCGGATTATCTAAAAATCTATTTTCATATCTAATTATAAAATTTTAAACTCCAAAAATGGAAAAAATCAAATACATCTATAAACATATGAACATTTTGAAAATGAACAGTCTAGATAATGTGTTGCAAGATGCAGTATTTCTGGGACTCAAAATCTTTTTTTTTTCAAATTTATACATCTTGATGTCGAGGTGGTCAAATACAGAGTTTTTCAACATTAAAATAACCTTTTCCAATGGATTTTTGAGGTGCATCTTTAATTATATATTTTAAAGTTGCAACATTATATAAATTTTTTCCAAAAAAGCAATAGGTTCATTGAGAAAATTTCTCCACACGATATTTGAAAGCGAAAGATCAACCAACAATATTTGAAAGCGAAAGATCAACCACTTATGGTCCCCCCCCCCCCCCCCCCCACCCCGGGCTGCCAAATTCTTTGGCTGTCAAACATGCCTTTAGGGAAGGATTACGGGATTTTTTTGGGACAAAGAATTAGTAAACCAAAATATAAGGAAGATAATTGAATAAAGGGATAGTCTACAAAGGCATCATTTATCTTTAGGGATTGTAAACAATGAGACCATTTATCTTTTATACAAGATGGTCACAATTATGTGTAACCATCTGATGTGAAATCTGATAGCTTGGGTGTGTTACAAAGTCCGATAAAATTTCTTTTGAATTTTGAGCTTGGTCGATAGAATAAATGTAGCCTTTTAATTTCACATCCAATGGTCAAAATTAATTGTGACTACCTTGTATCAAAGATAAATGGTCTCATTGTATATTTTTCTTTATCTTTATTACGAGTAGGTCACAACAATTCCCACTCATTAGATGTCAAATTGGATGGCTTAGGGTGACTCACGAAATCCAAGATTTTTTTTTTTTGGAACTTTGTTTCTATTCATTGACACCCTTACAACCATCCATTTTGAAATAAAAAGGACAAAAATGATTATAACCTCATTGTAATAAAGATAAGGGTGCAGTTGGCATACATATGCATCCGTAGCTGTAGAGGAATGGGGCACCTTCAAATTTTATCATGGTATGTAATTTTGATGTAAAATGTTCCTAGGATTATCTCAAAATCTATTTTTATATCTAATTATAAAATTTTAAATTTAAAAAATGGTTAAAATCAAGTAGATCTATAAACATATGAAAATCTTGAAAATGGACAGTGTAGATGATATGTTGTAAAATGCATTACTTATGAGACTTAAAATCTTTATATTTTTCATGGTCATACATCTCGATGTCGAGATGATCAATCAAAGGGTTTTTCAACATTAAAACTAATTTTTCCCACAGATTTTGAGATGCATCCGTAGTTCTACATTATAAGGTTGCATCCTTATATAAACTTTTTCCTAAAGATAAATGATCTCTTCATAGGCAATCCCTTTAATAAATGTATAAAGAGGATTTTAGGAATAAATATTGGATTTTGAAGAATCTCCAATCTAAGTGCTTGATGCATGAGGGCCAGGGCCCACACATATTAATGTTCGGGACCTAAGACTTTTTTTTTGGGTGAGTTGGTGGGGAGAGGGTAGGAATTGAGCCTAGGATGTAGTCTTGCAATTCAGCAAGTGCCAATCAATTAAGCCCGAGCATTTTTCTTAATATTTTTTTGGTGAGTCAGTGGGGAGAGAGCCCCTTCCTTTGGTATGAATTGAGCCTAGGACCTAACATTCCAAATCGTCAAGCGCATACCTATTAAACCTACTTGCATCATACAATTAAGTTATGGCTGCAGTTGGCATACGGATGCATCCGTAGATGTAGAGGTAAGGTGCACCTTCAAATTTGATCGTGGTATATAATTTTGATGTAAAATGTTCTTAGGATTATCTCAAAACATATTTTTATATCTAATTATAAAATTTTAAATTTAAAAAATGGTTAAAATCAAGTAGATATATAAACATACGAAATCTTGAAAATGGATGGTGTAGATAATATGTTGTAAAATGCACTTTTTCTGAGACTTAAAATCTTTTTATTTTTTATTGTCATACATCTCAATGTCGAGATGATCAATCAAAGGGTTTTTGAACATTAAAACTACTTTTTCCGATGTATTTTTGAGGGGCATCCATAGTTCAACATTATAAGGTTGCATCCTTGTATAAACTTTGTCCTTAAATTATTGCAGGCTTCATCCAAAATTCGAGGCAGGAGATTTAATTATGCTAAGAGAGGTGCAATTTTTGGTGCATGGCTCACACTAAGACCAGGTCACATAGCTAACTGGCCTGAGTTTTTCAAGTAGCTCCTCTCTCACTATTTCACTTAAATATATGTTTTCATAGGCAATGGATTTTCTTCTAACATGTTGACCATTCATAATT